CCACGGTGCATACCCTCCAAGCCGTTCGGGGCTGCTGCCAATTACTAAATATCGTTCACTTTCAATGTAAATATTGCTTATTTCATTAAATCGACGACGTCAAATCTTCATAACACTTACATCCTAGGTACTCGAACAGTCAACACGAAGAAGAATTCAAAACCCTTCTGTATTTAGCACTTCGTGGAGACCCAGAAGCAATCAGCTGCCCACAACTTGTCAACGACCTTTTCTTTCGAGAGTTAATTAGAAGCAAGCTGCCAAAGTTCCAACTTTATTGCACGTACTAACAGTATTTTACCAGCAAAGTAAATATGGATATTGTAGAGGCCTCTTAACTAAATAGAACCATCGAAGCTTACTGGTGAAATCAAACCATCGACTTCAGCCCAAAAGTATATCAAACTCACTAGCCTACGCAGAAGATATTACTAGAGATACCAGGAGTTCAACTTTCTGTTGCAACTGGATTACTTAGTAGGCTGGAAAATAAAGTCCGTCTAATTTTCAAGCAGTACTCGGAAAGTACGACGAATAACACCCCTGAATGTTGTTCTCCTCATGAAAGTGTTACCAGTTGAACCACTAAATACATTCTCCTCTGCTGTATTCAAAAGTAAGCAAACGGTGTGAATCTCTGAAGCATTAGCCGGGCGGTCATGAAAAGAATGCTATAGTAACATTGCAAATTAAAATAACCTAGGTGACGACGCGTCAGACTAGCCGGTACGATCATGCGTTTTTGGATGATTCTGTCCTGTAAAGAGATCGTTGTACTACTGGGGTGTGATTGTGTTATTGCAGTTTGTATGTTTTGATGCGTCTTTACGCAGGACCTGCGCCTAGGTAGCATTTCATCTTAGGCTCGGTGGCCCCCACAAGAACAGCAAACATCCTCAGAAAAAGAGCGCTTCCTGCTCAGTCTGGATACCGAAATAATTGGCTACCAGCAACGTCCCAAATCAAACTTTCTTCTGCACGCACGTAAGATTTTGGGTGCTTTAAAGCTGAATATGAAATATTTCAGTCTCACATCAGCGCAGAACATCCTCGTTTCAACTCCCTAGCATGAATGTTGGCAAAACCGCTTTTATTTACAGATATTTTTGGGGTATTCGAACGCAAAATACAGGCGTACGCCAAAGCTCGCTTTATGCCTACTTGCCTGCGTATGAACAACAAATATTCTCATAAAGCTTAGTTCCCGAAATGTCTAGTTCTTGAATTGGCACTTCACCAGCGATGACGAAATCTTAATTTGAACGTGTCCATACACCCGACACAGGCTTGAGCTAAAGCTGGATTTGAATTTTCCAGCTTACACAAGGACGTATAACATTCTTGTCGACTTTCTGCTTCCTGACTTCTATAATTGCTAAATTGAATTTGGGTAGCAAAAGCCCGAGCACGTATACGAACACATAAATAAAACACACCGACAGTTTCTGAACAAATATTCGTTTTTTATGCGTTTTTGCCTAACAAATTAAAAACGCATATTGGGACGACCCTGTCTGTGTGTGTATGTATGTATGTGTGTGTGTGTGTATGTTCAAATTGCAAAAACGCATATTGGGACGACCCTGTCTGTGTGTGTATGTATGTGTGTGTATGTTTGTC